TTTTCTTTAGGTCTTGTGCTTTACTGAAAAGGGTTAAGGAGGCTAAAATTGGGATCTTGAACCAGGATAAGTATTATTTCTTTTTTTGTTATTTTTTTTGTTATTTTTTTTTGTTATTACTAATTCTTGTTTCTTTTTTTTTTAGATCTTGTGCTTTACCTAGAAGGGTTAATAGATGCTGGAATCAGGATTTTGAACCAAGATAAGTAATATTTTTTTTTTTCTATTTTTTTTTAGTTTTTTGTTTTTTTTTATTGTTACTAATTCTCATTTCTTTTTTTTTAGGTCTTGTGCTTTGTCAAAAAGAGTTAATGAAGGCCAAGATCAGGATCTTAAACCAAAATAAGTATTTTTTTTCTTTTTATTGTATTTTTTTGTTTTTTTTTAGTTTTTAATTTTTTTTATTGTTACTAATTCTTGTTTCTTTTTCTTTAGGTCTTGTGCTTTATTAGAAAGAGTTAATAAAGGCCAGAATTGGGATCTTGAATCAGGATAAGTATTATTTTTCTTTTTTTTCTTTATTTTTATTTTTTTGATGGGTTTTTAATTTTTTTTTGTTATTGTTACTAATTCTTGTTTCTTTTTTTTAGGTCTTATGCTTCGTCAAAAAGGGTTAATAGAGGCTGAGATCAGGATCTTGAACTAAGATAAATATTATTTTTTTTTTTTGTATTTTTTTGTATTTTTTTTTGGTTTTTTATTTTTTTTTTGTTGTTACTAATTTTTGTTTCTTTTTTTTTAGATCTTGTGCTTCACTAAGAAGGGTTAATGAAGGCAGAATCAGGATTTTGAACCAGGAACTGGTAAAGATAAGTATTATTTCTCTTTTATTTTTTTTGTTTTTTATTTTTTTAATTAGTTACTAATTCTTGTTTCTTTTCTTTAGGTTTTGTGCTTTGCTAAGAATAGTTAATAGAGGCCAAGATCAGGATCTTAAACCAAGAACTGGTAAAGATAAGTACTATTTCACTTTTTCTTTTATTTTTTTTGTTTTTCATTTTTTTAATTATTGTTACTAATTGTTATTTCTTTTCTTTAGGCCTTGTGTTTTGCCAAGAATGGTTAATAGAGGCCAAAATTAGGATCTTAAACCAGGAACTGGTAAAGATAAGTACTATTTCTCTTTTTTTTTCATTTTTTCTTTTTGTTTTTTATTTTTTTTAATTGTTATTACTAATTCTTGTTTCTTTTTTTTAAGTTTTGTTCTTTGCCAGAAATGATTAATAGAGGCCAAAATCAGAATTTTGAACTGAAACTGGTACAAAGATAAGTACTACTTCACTTTTTTTAGTTTTTTTTAGTTTTTTTTTTTGTTACTAATTCTTGCTTTCTTTTTTTTTAGGTCTTGTACTTTATCAGAAAAGGTTAATAGAGGCTAAAATCAAGATTTTGAACCTAGAATTGATACAAAGATAAGTATTACTTTACTTTTTTTTTGTTTTTTCAATTTTTTTTTCTTATTACTAATTCTTGCTTTCTTTTTTTTAGGTCTTGTGCTTTGCCAAGAAGGGTTAATAAGAATTAGGATCTTAAGTCAGAAATGCTAATGAAATAATTGTACTCAACATTTTAGTTTATAGTATAGTTTTTTTTGTTATATAATTTTTATATAATTATTATTTAATAAAAATTAAATAAAAAATTATATTAATAAATAATAATTAAAAAGTAAAATAAATTAATAAATAGTTTTAAAAATTTTTTTAATTATTTTGTAATAGTAAAATTTTTCTGATTATTTCACAATATTGTAAAATTTTTTTGATTATTTCATATTATTGCAAATTTTTTCTGAATATTTCATATTATTGCAAAATTTTTTAATTATTTTACAGTGTTGCAAAAATTTTACATTATTGTGAAGTTTTTTTGATTATTTTGCATTATTGTGAAAGTTTTCTGATTATTATGCATTATTGCAAAGCTTTTCTAATTATTTTGTAATATTGCAAAAATTTTCTCATTATTGCAAAATTTTTTCAATTATTTCAAAAAATTACAAAATTTTTTTATTTTAAAAGAATTTCACATCAATTACAATTATTTTAAAAGATTTTTGGTATGCAAAATCTTTTACAATATTTCACTTATATTTTTTGCTGATATATATGTCATTTGATTTAAAAAGAGATTGATCACCAAGTTGGTTATTTTTTTGTTAAAGTTTATTTTTCTTAGAATCAGATTTAGAAAATTATGATTCACTCTGTCAAATGCCTTTTGCTAATTTACTAAAAGCATCCAGTGCTGTTTGAAATTGTCTGGTTAGTTTCTTAATATAGTAATTATCCATGACTGTGTCTATTATTGATCTTCCAGAAACAAATTCTTGTTGGTGATTGGAGATAATTTTCTTGCAAATTACATTAAGCTATTTGCTATAATTTTTATAAAGATTTGGCATGACAATTTACTAATAAGATTGGATACCAGTTGTTTAAGTCTTTTAAGTTTTCTGATTTTTTAGAAATTAGTATGATTATGTTTCTGCACTATGAATCAGGTAAACAACCAGTATCTAGTACTTGATTAAACATCTTTTCAAGAACTGGTACTATTTCTAGATGACTTGTTATTAGAAAAGCCTTGTATTGCTTGGGTTACTTCTTATAAAATTTTTTAGACTAAATTGTTGTTTTGATCCTATAGTACTTGAGGAAGACTTTCAGTAATCTTTTCTGCTACCTTGATATCTATGTTTGCTTTTTTGTAGATTTTTATGTATTGGTTTTTAATATATATAAGTATATCTCCATTTTCTAAGTTTAAAGTTTCAGGTATTTCAATTCTAGACTAAGCAATTTGTGACTTTTTTGCTTTTGAGAAGAAGTATTTTGTCAACTTTTCTTTATTTTTAATCTATTATATCTTTGACTGAATTAATAATGACTCAGCCATTTTGGTTAGTTTTTTTTGTATTTGAAGATTAAGTTCTTTTAGGTTTTCATTAAGATGTTCTTTTGAGAAGTCTGTTGCATGCTCTTTACTTAGCTTTGTAATGTCTTTGTTTAGTCTTGCCATTTTGTTTTCAGAAGTTTTGGGTTTTTAAAAGGCCCCAATAATTAATTGTATATAGATTTTATATAAATACTAGTTTTCTGCTGAGCTAGCATTCTGAATTTTCTCCAGTACCACTTTTTTTAGTAATTTGTTTTTAAAAAATTCTTTATTGAACCTCCAGACTAAAGGCTGTTTAGACTCTTGTTTAAATTTAAATGTAAATCTTACTAGAAGATAGTCTAAGTTACCAAAGTGCATACTAACTTTTGATATAAAGTAATTATAATTCTTGTCTATAAAAATGTAATCCAAACATGTAGCCATTGAGTGGTTATTTTGTGTTTTCTGAAAAAAAGTTAGGAAGGGCTTGGTGCTTAACATCTTTGCTATATTAATAAATTCTTTTGTTAGATTGGAGAGCTGAGTTCTAGTCAAGTCATATTGGGCTGTTGCTTGACTTATTTTGTTGTTTTTGAAATTAAAATTAACATTAAAGTCTCTTGCTATAAAGTTTATATTATTTTCTTTGATTTGAGATTTCCAATTATTAAAGAAGATTATTTTGTTGCTAATGTTTAGTAGTGCATAGACATTTGTTATTTTGAAGAAGTATTCTTTAAATACAAAGTTTGTTGTTATTATTCTTTTTTTATAGCTTATCTAAGTGTTTTTGAATTCAATGTCTTTGCTTCCTGCTAGAATTGCTGTTTTTTTTAGTCCAAATTGAATAGTAAATCCATTATTGTTTGAGGAATTTTTGTGTTTTTTTCATTATTAAGATTAGTTTCCTAAAGCATTATTATGTTTAATTTGTATGATTTTAAAAGAGTTAGTGAATTTTGTTGTTTTTCTTTGTTGTTAAGTCCTTTTACATTTAGTGTTGCTATTTTTAATTTGGTTTTTTGAGTCATAAATTATATGAGGTTGTTGGATTTCTTAAATTGGGAGTAGCTTTCTTCTTTATAAGTTTTCTTGACTGTGATAAAGCCATCTGTTTCTTCATTTTTGTCAGGAGAAGAAGCTGCTTTGAAGATATGATTTGCAGATAGATGTGATGTTCTATAGTTATAAATGACAAGTATATCTCTTGGTAGCATTTCTGTATCTGGTAAGGAATCTTCTTGAGTTATTATTTGCATTTGTTTATCTAGGCTGTTATTTGTTGATTTTCTTTTTTGTTAGCAGGATTAGCTGTATAAGATTCTTTTCTGGTCTGATATTTGCAAAATTTTTTTTTCTGTATGATCCAATTCTTTTTTTAAAGTTTTGATATTGTTGGTGGAGGGCTGGCTACTGATTCCTGGAATAGCTGGCATTTCTTTTTAATATGCCCTTTCTTTTTTGCTGAAGTAGTATACTTTTGCTGCTGCCTTTCACTCTATTGTGACATTGTTATTCCAAATATGGGTAAACCTTAGTATTTTATTTTCTAAAAATGGATCCTCTGTAGTCTTGAAAATTATGACCTACTGATCTGTTATCTTCAATTAACAGGTGTTTAATTGATGCTATTTTATCTATATTCTCAAAAGCATCTTTGATTAAGTCTGACAGTTCTTCTTTGTTGCCTAGTGAGATGTTTCTGATTTTAACTGGCAAGAATGATTTCCTCATATCCATTGAAACATAGCCAAAATATGTTCTGTTAAAAATTTTAACACTTTTTGTTGCATAGATCTTTAGTTTTTCTTTATCTGTGAAGATAATTTCTAAATGTGATCATGTTCTTTTAGTAAAATGTTGTTTAGCTACAATAATGTCATTTTTAGCAGTTTTAAATAAAGATGACATAATTTTTGTATATCTATAATGAGGGCATTTTTATTTTTTGATTTAATTGTGTTCCTAGGAGAAAAGGATGAGTAAGTTGACTGGCTTCTTTTAAGTTTAGGAAAGAGACTTGACCATTTTTTCAGTCATTCTACTAGAGCTAGAAATTGTATTCCTTTCTAAAATGAAGTTTTCTTGTTCATTCATTAACTTATTTTGAGTTGTTGTTTTCATGTTGTCTTTGTTACTTGTACTAGTCTTGGAAACCTCTTTGTCACATGTTGTTGTTTAGTTGTTATCTTTGTTATATATACTTCAATAACTTCTTCATTATGTGTGAAAGTATTGTTGTCTTGTTCTACAAGTGTTACTATGTTGTTGTCACTTTTTTCTACCAATGAGATTTTTTCTTTTGTCATATATGTTCTATTTTCTTTAAGTTCTTCCTTATATGTATTTGTTATTTCCTTGAGTTCTTTAGTTTCTTGAACTACTTGTTTATTCCAGCTAGGGTTGCTTTTGTTGATATATTCTAGTGAACCTGAATTATTGCCTTCTACTTGTACAGGCTTCATGTTTTTGGTGTTTTTCTTATCAGCATTTGTTGTTGTTTTTTATTTTTTTGCTATAGTGCTAAAGCTTTTTGTACTGTTAAAAACTTTAAAAGATCTTTTTCTTGTAACAAGAGCAAGTGCCCTTGCTTTAAAATCTTTTTTAAGTTTGTTTGTCTTGCTGTTGTAGTTTATTTTTCTGTTTAGTTTCACTCTACTTTCAAATGCATGTGGTCTGAAAAAGTGTATATAGGTTTTTTAAAGACATCTTTTAAATTATAAAGTATAATATTTTTATTTTTTTTTTCTTTAGCAGCTTTGCTGTTAATCTTTATTAAGATTTATATTTACAGATTTGTATATACTTTGACCTAATTTACTAGTTTGACATCTTCTAGTTGCTTCAATGAGTACCCAAAGATGATCTGCTACATAACTTTTAATTAAACTACATTTCCTTTATCTTACTATTTTTTACTTCTTTTGTCTCTTTAATCTTGGTTTTTTTCTATTCTAATTGTACTTTCTATTTGACTATGCATCTCTTTACTAGATAGTTTTGTATTTCTTTCTATTTTTTTTATTTTGATGATCAGTTAATGCTTATCAGCTTTTCCTATTGGATAATAGCTTTATATCTTTTCTATATATTTTCATAAAACTCATTTTATGCTATATTAGTTACAATATTTAAATTTTTTTTGTTTTCTTAAGCTATTTTATATTTGCTCAATTGTTTTTTCTTAAACTAAACATTTGACTATTTCTATTTTTGTTTCTTTTTTTCTTGCTTGTTTACTTGCCAAAAAAATTCTTTAAGTTACTTGTGTTTTACTTGAAAGTTTAGCCTATGCAGAATTAATCAAAAGATCTTCTATTTTTTCCAGTTGTTCTTATAATACTTGCATGCTGCCAAATGTTCTTGGTTTTCTTTCTCTTCTTTATTGCAAAGTATGCAAAAAGAACTTTGCAAAGGTCTGGTTTTTGTTGTGTTAGAGGTTTTAGTAATAGCAACCTATTATTAAGACATTTAATTAAAGTTCCTATTTGTGTATTCTTTTTTGGCTTGTACATCTGCTTTTACTTTAATCTTTAATCTTTTTTTATAAGTATATCTAATTATATACATTCTTCCTATTATCTGGCTCTATCTGTTTAATTGCTAATAAAAAACCTCATTTGATTTTTGTTTGTAAATCTAAAATTTCTTTAATAAACTTTTTTGTTAGATCTTTTATAATTTCTTCTTTCTAATAAATTAAGATGCTAGTCCTTTGAGAAGTCTTTTCTACTATTTTATCTAAATTATCTATTTTGGCTCCTTTTTTTGCCCAACTATCTACTCTATTGTTTCATCTATTATCTATGCCTTTTAACTTTAACTAAAATTTTTTAACTTTATAATGTTTATAATATTTTCTAGTAGATTATAATTTTTTCTTTTCTAGTTAACATCTAATAGATTAATTTTTTTTCTATTGTTAAGACCTGCAATTGCTGTTATACTATCTGTACAAATCTTTACTTTTCTCTGTTCTGATACTACAAGTATAACAAACCAATAGCTAAAAGCTTTGGTTTTGTTGATAATGGCCAATTTTGTGCACCAAAATAGCTCTCACTTAGTACTTCCTCTTCTTTTTCATCTAGTTGCACCTAGCCTAATTCTATTTGATCTACTGTTGAACTTTTTTTTCCTAATGCTCTTCTTAGTAAACCATCTGTATAAAAGATCAACATTTCTTTAGGTTTTTCTTTGTTTCTTTGGTTAAGTTTCATAAGTTCATCTTTCATTAGCTGGCTGATAGGTTGCTTTTTGATGATTTCAATGTTTAAATCAGGCACATTACTTTAGTAGCTTTACTTTTATTTTGTTGTACTTTTTTTTTCATTCTTTGCGAAAAGTTTATCATTTTTTGGTCTAACTCTAGGGTTTGTTGTTCACATTTTCTAACATAGTCTAGAATTTCTTTTTGTACTTTAGATTTATCAATCCATCTTTCACAGCTTAAAGTAGTTTGATTTTGATTTATTTATTTATTTTTTTTTTAACACGAATTGGCATGCTTTTATTAGGTTATACTAGAAATACATTATATTATTTACATATATAAAGCTTCGATTCCTTTAATGAATCTAGCTATTTTTAGCTTTCTTTTTTTATGCAACATGCCTAAAATTTTAACATTTTTCTTTAACCTAATTTCTATTACTCTTCTAATTTTTTCTTCAGAATCGACAGTATTTCCCCATCTTGCTTGGGTGTACCATAGCCAGATTTCATATATAACTGTCAAGTGTAACCATGCAGCTGCTTTTCGTAGCTGTGTATTTGAGATGTTAGACATAGTAAAAATTTCTTCCATTGTAGTAGGAGGGGCTTCTTCTACTGAAACATTTAAAAGCTTGTAGCCATAGGTCCATATAATTTTACTAATTCTACAGTCTAGAGTGGAGTGTTCTATAGTTTGTTTCTTATCCTTACAGTTAGGACAGCTTTTATTTATATTTGGATTAATATGTACCAACCAATAGCCAA